TGGAAACATCATGCTTTGGGGCTGTTTTTCTGCAAAGGGACCAGGACGACTCTTTCGTGTAAAGGAAAGAATGAATGGGCCATGTATTGTGAAATTTTGAGTGAAAACCTCCTTCCATCAGTAAGGGCATTGAAGATGAAACGTGGCTGGGTCTTTCAGCATGACAATCATCCCAAACACACCGCCTGGGCAATGAAGGAGTGGCTTCGTAAGAAGTATTTCAAGGTCCTTGAGTGGCCTAGCCAGTCTCCAGATCTCAACCCAATAGAAAATCTTTGGAGGGAGTTGAAAGTCTGTGTTGCCCAGCGACAGCCCCAAAACATCACTGCTCTAGAGGAGATCTGCATGGAGGAATGGGCCAAAATACCAGCAACAGTGTGTGAAAACCTTGTGAAGACTTACAGAAAACGTTTGACCTGTGTCATTGCCAACAAAGGGTATATAACAAAGTATTGAGAAATGTTTGTTATTGACCAAATACTTATTTTCCACCATAATTTGCAAATCAATTCATTAAAAATCCTACAATGTGATTTTCTGGATTTTCTTTCCTCATTTTGTCTGTCATAGTTGACGTGTACCTATGATGAAAATTACAGGCCTCTCTCATCTTTTTAAGTGGGAGAACTTGCACAATTGGTGGCTGATAGAACAGCGCAGGAGAAGATGGCTGCCGTTTTACAGCCCTCTAACCAATTGTACTATTTTGTGTGTTTTTCCGCGATATTTGTAATTTATTTTGTACATAATCTTTCTGCCATCGTCTCTTATAACCAAAAAGAGCTTCTGGATATCAGGACAGCGATTACTCACCTCGTATTGGACGAAGATTTTTTCTTCAACGAGGCGGCCGAGAAGGATATCATACAGACACCCGACAAGGCCCAAATCCCCGTCATTCGCGTGAGGAAGAGACGGAGATATCGTGGACGTAGATCGGGGTGCCTTGTAAGGATCCGACGGCGAGCGAGTAAACTGCTTCTTCCATCAACCCTATTAGCCAACGTTAAAATCATTTGAAAATAAATTGGACGACTTAAGATTACGGTTATCCTACCAACGGGACATTAAAAACTGTAATATGTTATGTTTCACCGAGTCGTGGCTGAACGACGACATGGATTTCATACAGCTAGCGGGCTATACGCTACATCGGCAGGATAGAACGGCTGACTCCGGTAAGACAAGGGGTGGCGGTCTGTGTATATTTGTAAACAACAGCTGGTGCACAAAATAAAATACTAAGGAAGTCTCGAGGTTTTGCTCGCCTGAGGTAGAGTATCTTATGATAAGCTGTAGACCACACTATTTACCAAGAGAGTTGTATCTATATTTTTCATAGCTGTCTATTTACCACCACAAACCAATGCTGGCATTAAGATTGCACTGAATGAGTTGTACAAGGCCATAAATCAACAGGAAAACGCTCATCCAGATGCAGCGCTCCTAGTGGCCGGGGACTTTAATGCAGGGAAACTTAAATCCATTCTACCTCATTTCTACCAGCATGTTAAATGTGCAACCAGAGGAAAAAAAACTCTAGACCACCTTTACTCCACACACAGAGACGCATACAAAGCTCTCCCTCGCCCTCCATTTGGCAAATCTGACCATAACTCTATCCTCCTGATTCCTGCTTATAAGCAAAAACTAAAGCAGGAAGCACCAGTGACTCGGTTAATAAAAAAGTGGTCAGATGACGCAGATGCTAAGCTACAGGACTGTTTTGCTAGCACAGACTGGAACATGTTCCGGGATTCTTCAGACAGCATTGAGGAGTACACCACATCAGTCACTGGCTTCATCAATAAGTGCATCGATGATGTCGTCCCCACAGTGACCGTACGTACATACCCCAACCAGAAGCAATGGATTACAGGAAACATCCGCACTGAGCTAAAGGGTAGAGCTGCCGCTTTCAAGGAACGGGACTCTAACCCGGACGCTTATAAGAAATCCCGCTATGACCTCCGACGAACCATCAAACAGGCAAAGAGTCAATACAGGACTAAGATTGAATCGTACTACACTGGCTCTGACGCTCGTCGGATGTGGCAGGGCTTGAAAACTATTACAGACTACAAAGGGAAGCACAGCCGCGAGCTGCCCAGTGACACAAGCCTACCAGATGAGCTAAACCACTTCTATGCTCGCTTCGAGGCAAGCAACACTGAAGCATGCATGAGAGCACCAGCTGTTCCGGATGACTATGTGATCACGCTCTCCGCAGCTGATGTGAGTAAGACTTTTAAGCAGGCCAACATTCACAAGGCCGCAGGGCCAGACGGATTACCAGGATGTGTACTCCGAGCATGTGCTGACCAACTGGCAAGTGTCTTCACTGACATTTTCAACATGTCCCTGACTGAGTCTGTAATACCAACATGTTTCAAGCAGACCACCATAGTCCCCGTGCCCAAGGACTCTAAGATAACCTGCCTAAATGACTACCGACCCGTAGCACTGATGTCTGTAGGCATGAAGTGCTTTGAAAGGCTGGTCATGGCTCACATCAACAGCATTATCCCAGAAACCCTAGACCCACTCCAATTTGCATACCGCCCCAACAGATCCACAGATGATGCAATCTCTATTGCACTCCACACTGCCCTTTCCCACCTGGACAAGAGGAACACCTACGTGAGAATGCTATTCATTGACTACAGCTCAGCATTCAACACCATAGTGCCCTCTAAGCTCATCACTAAGCTAAGGATCCTGGGACTAAACACCTCCCTCTGCAACTGGATCCCTGACTTCCCGACGGGCCGCCCCCAGGTGGTAAGGGTAGGTAACAACACATCTGCCACACTGATCCTCAACACGGGGGCCCCTCAGGGGTGTGTGCTCAGTCCCCTCCTGTACTCTCTGTTCACCCATGACTGCATGGCCAGGCACGACTCCAACACCATCATTAAGTTTGCCGACGACACAACAGTGGTAGGCCTGATCACCGACAACGATGAGACAGCCTATAGGGAGGAGGTCAGCGACCTGGCAGTGGGGTGCCAGGACAACAACCTCTCCCTCAACGTGACCAAGACAAAGGAGATGATTGTGGACTACAGGAAAAAAAAGAGGACTGAGCACGCCCCCATTCTCATCGACGGGGCTGTAGTGGAACAGGTTGAGAGCTTCAAGTTCCTTGGTGTCCACATCACCAACGAACTATCATGGTCCAAACACACCAAGACAGTCGTGAAGAGGGCACGACAAAGCCTATTCCCCCTCAGGAGACTGAAAAGATTTGGCATGGGTCCTCAGATCCTCAAAAAATTCTACAGCTGCACCATCGAGAGCATCCTGACTGGTTGCATCATCGCCTGGTATGGCAACTGCTTGGCCTCCGACCGCAAGGCACTACAGAGGGTAGTGCGTACGGCCCAGTACATCACTGGGGCCAAGCTTCCTGCCATCCAGGACCTCTATACCAGGCGGTGTCAGAGGAAGGCCCTCAAAATTGTCAAAGACTCCAGCCACCCTAGTCATAGACTGTTCTCTCTGCTACCGCACGGCAAGCGGTACCGGAGTGCCAAGTCTAGGTCCAAAAGACTTCTCAACAGCTTCTACCCCCAAGCCATAAGACTCCTGAACAGCTAATCATGGCTACCCGGACTATTTGCACTGACCCCCCACCCCATCCTTTTTACGCTGCTGCTACTCTGTTAATTATTTATGCATAGTCACTTTAACTCTACCCACATGTACATATTACCTCAACTACCTCAACTAGCCGGTGCCCCCGCACATTGACTCTGCAATGGTACCCCCCTGTATATATAGCCTCCCTACTGTCACTTTATTTTACTTCTGCTCTTTTTTCGCTCAACACTTTTTTTGTTGTTGTTTTATTTTTACTTTTTTTGTAAAAAATAAATGCACTGTTGGTTAAGGGCTGTAAGTAAGCATTTCACTGTAATGTCTGCACCTGTTGTATTCGGCGCATGTGACCAATAAAATTTGATTTGATTTGATTTGACTAAATACTTTTTTTCCCCACTGTACATCTCTCACAGGGCAGTTTCACAAAGGAAATACTTGAGCTCGATATAGACCTAACTATACGGCTTTACAAATGGTGTAAATACCACAACAGCATATGCAAATAATGTTTGCTTGCTTGGTTTACATTTAAAGTTGTTTATAAATGTGTCATTAACTATCTATATATAGCTTACTAACATTTACAAATGTAGCAATAACAATTCATAAATGGTGAGCAAACTTATATTTTAAAAAAAATCTGATTTTTTTACAGGACATTATTATAAGTCGTAATCCATTTAGAAATGGCAACCTCAGTAAATGTGTGTTTTAATTGTAACGTTTTGGTTGTCTGTGTTTCTCCCAAACAGCTCATCAAATGGTGTTACCTTCGTTGGCAGGTAACTGTTCATTTACATGTGAACACAAGTCTCAAAAAGGTTTTAAAATACTTTTAAAATGCTGTTAAAGGCCTCCCGAGTGGCACAGCTGTCTAAGGCACTGCATCGCAGTGCTAGAGGCGTCACTACAGACCCGTGTTCGATCCTGGGCTGTATCACAACCGGCCGTGATCTGGAGTCCCATAGGGCGGTGCACAATTGGCCCAGTGTCGTTAGGGTAGGGTTTTGCCGGGGGGGCTTTGCTTGGCTCATCGCACTCTTGTAGGCTGACTTCGGTCGTCAGTTCAATGGTGTTTCCTCCGTCACATTGGTGCGGCTGGCTTCCGGGTTAAGTGAGAATATGTTAAGAAGCAAGGCTTGGCGGGTCATGTTTTGGAGGATACATGACTCGACCTTTGCCTCCCGAGCCGGTTGGGGAGTTGCAGTGATGAGACAAGATCGAAATTGGGGAGAAAAAGGGGAACAAAAAAGAAATGCTGTTAAAGTCCAAAAAGGTTAATTAACACGTTTGTAACAACTTTTAATAGAACAGCTTTGACAATACTGGCAGTTTTTAATTGCTCATTAATCATTATTAATCATTTTTCCTATCATCTCTTTTCGTCTTTGTTAGCTGGTGAAGAGATCAGGCTGGTCAATGGCACTAGTCGCTGCTCGGGACAGTAGAGATTCTTTACAAGGGCCAATGAGGTGTTTGGCCAGCTGGGCTGTGGGAGGGCTGTGAGTGCCCAAGGTACTGCCCACGTAGGTCAGGGTAGTGGTGGCAGACCTACTTGGCTGGATGATGTTGGGTGTGACGGCAGTGAGAGCTCCCTGACAGAATGCTCACATGGAGGATTGAAACACCATGACGGTTTACAAGTTCAAGATGCCAGTGTTGTCTGCTCAGGTAAGAACAGTCCCTCTGTGTTGCTATTGTGGTTGATAGAAATCGAAATACCTTGATTATACTTGTGTCAACTTGGCATTGATTTTGTTGAATATGATACTGAAAGGCTTCTATTTCCTCAATTTTCTTCTTTCATTCCTAGTCAAACCTAACATCAGACTGGTCAATGGGAGTGACCTCTGCTCTGGGAGGGTGGAGGTCTATCAAATTGGTCAGTGGCTAACCGTGTGTGATGACGTGTGGGACTTGAATGACGCTGCTGTGGTGTGTAGACAACTGGGCTGTGGGAGAGCTGATAGTGCCCCAGAGACGGCCTACTTTGGTCAGGGCAGTGGGCCCATCTGGCAGGATGATGTTGGCTGCTCTGGCAGTGAGTGCTCCATCACACAGTGCCCACACACAGGAGGAGGAACACATGAATGTAATCATGGTAACGACGCAGGTGTTATTTGTTCAGGTAAGGGAGTCTCTTTGCCTTGTCAAGACTAGAGTTTTATCAGGGTTTGGTTTGAATTGTGCAAAAAGGTCTCGTCATAGCCAGACAGTCTGCACTTTAACCTCATATTCATTGTATCATCTGAAATCCAAAGTGCTGGAGTACAGAGCCAAAACAACAACACAATTGTCACTGTCCCAATACTTTTGGAGCTCACTGTATTTTATGATTCAGAGCCTTGATAGAGACGGGAGGCTGACTACCTTGTCCATTGCACACACATTTCTCAGTTACAAGGTGTAAATATGGAATGACATTACTGTCAAATTGCTGTTTACTTTCTTTCCAGTGGTCCTGCTACAGCCCAACATCTCTCTCAGTCCTCCAAATGAAGGGATGTTTTGGGAACCTCAGGGGCCAGAGGTGATCAGGGGCCACAGCTTCACCATCACCTGCTCCATTCAGCCACAGTATCCTAGAGGCCTCTTCTATCTGGACTTCTCTGGGTCCAACAGAACTGAGACTACGCCTGCAGTCAACCACTCTGCCTCCTTCCACTTCCCTGTTGCAGAGTATAAAGACCAGGGGAAATACAGCTGCAGCTATGGAGTCAACGTCTCCACCCGGTCATTCAGGTCGGCTAATAATGAACTAGCTGTCACCATTAGAAGTAAAATAACACATGCTTTAAAAAACAAACATATTTAGTATTGTAAAATGATTTATAATCCTTCATGTCACCGTTTATTTTTTATTTTTTATATTATATGAATTTGCCATCTACAAGTCTTGATCTGTAGGTCTCATCCTTGAAATACCTACCTTTTCCTCAGCGTCCATAGTCCCCATCATTGTTTCTGGAGGGACTGGTGGGGTAGCACTGCTGTTTCTGCTTCTGCTTGTCATCTGTCTAGTCAGCTGGAGGACAAGGAGGAACAGAAAGCCATCTACAGAGACTGACCAGAGAGAATGTAAGTGATATCACTATACTGTAAACTCAAATCCTGAATCTGAACTTGATTTACACCTTGAGTTTGAAAAGTTAAGCTAAGCAGCATCTCAAATTCGGGCCAAAGACTTTTGTTGATATCATTTTGTTTGTAAGGCTTTTTTATTCCCAAGAGTTTGTTGCGAATATTCAAGAGCAAGCTGTTATGCAAAAGGTATTGACAACAGACACAACAGAGGGGAGGAAAACGAAGAGGAAGAGGAAGAAGAAGAGGACTATGTAAATGTTGAAAATGTATTTTATGAGAGAGGTCTAGAGAGAGTGACGGGTGAAAAGAAGAATGGGAAGGGAAAAGGTCACAGCTATGGGAAATCAGAGGATGTCTATGACAACGAGGAGGGAAACATTCAAAGAAAGGGTGTTTGTGGGGGGTCTCATGAGAAAATGAACAGTGAAGACGATGAAGAAGATTACGTTAATATCTCCGCTCAGGACAATATCGTATCTGAAGATTATGCCTTTGTTAAATGTTTTTCATGACGAAATGGAATGTTGGTTATGTTAGTATAATGTAACATATAATAGACAGGAAGTGTATTGTAAACTGGCCAGAAGAGGGAGCCCATCTTGTTGTATTGGTTATAAATAGGGGTACACGAAGAAGATAGGTCAGAGCAGACATGAAAATTGGACGACACTGCTCTCCGGACAACGCGTGTCTGTAAACTCATGCTGAAGCTTGTGATCTGAATAAACCTTATGATCAATGTTCAGTATGAGCAGACTTCTTTTGTTGACAGCATAATGATCACCATTCATCATATACGACAGAATGGCGAGCTTGCCAGGAGGGATGATGCAATCCTTCTTTGCTGCATTTGGAGTCGACAAGCTAACTCAAGCTGACTGTGATTTGGAGTCATGACCCGACTAGACACAGCTAAGTTGTTGGTTTGTTACTGCTTATGTACACTGGAGGAATGTACCCTTACGACCGTGTTTCGGGTGGTGTTATGGCTGTTAACTGGGAGTCTGAACGAAAATATTCTAAATTTGGTTGATGTGTAAACGCTGTTTACAACAATGGATTGTACAAATGGATTGGTAGAGAATAATGTTGGGGAGATATCTGCATAATTAGAGCACCGTGAATCTGGAAAAGACCTCGAGGAGGCGATTCTTTATGAATGGGCTACAAATCCAGACCTAGTTAGTATTGGGTCAGGTTGATTTCTTAAGCGGGAATTATGAAGTGAATTGGTGTATTTATGTTATACTCCTCCTCTGGCTGACGGGAAATTGGTTTGGGGATAACCGCTTGATATGAGATTCATCTTTCAAGGCAACAAAAAGTTAGAAGGAGATTATTGATGATCATGGATAATGATTGGGCCGCGGTGCGGGGTGTTCATTGGTATAGCTAGTAGGCCACAGTTGGCTAGAGGCTGAAGCTCATTCTTGAGTGTTTCAGGCCACGTGGTATATCGTGGCTAAAGGCTGATGTTAATGCTTAAGGCTAACGGCTAATTGTGTTTTGTGCCACGGTGTACCGTAGGCTAAGCTAACTGCTAAGGTTGAATGCTAATTGTGTTGCGTGCTACATGCTAACGGATATCCTTAGAGATTCCATTGCGATGGATTAAAGTCTCTTAAATTTGTCACTGTCTGTAAGTCAGGTTGTATGTTTTGTGAGCGCTGTTAAATGTTGTTTGACTATAAGGGGGAAATGGGAATTACAGCTGGCTGTTATTCTTTCTGTTTGGGGAGAGAGAAGAGAGAATCTTTCTTCCACGGTGAAAAGGGGTTTTTGAATGGTTGTGCGCATGCGTTTAATTTTGCGACACTACAGTACCAAACGTGGGAGTTGGAGTTTATGACACGAGATTAGGACACGTTTTGGTTTACGGCACTAAATCTACGACATGCGGTCGACGAAACAAAATGGTGGCGTTAGTAAATGTATGGGGATGCGTTTAATTTTAAAATGATATTTGCGCATGCGTGGGATTCTGCAAAACAACACATTGGTTAAACTGCAGGGAGGGGAAGACAGACAGAGGATACATTTTAACACGATGATTCTAGTTTAAACTGCGATTGGTTAAAGATGAAACTTGCTTTGTAGCCTATTGAATTTATACATTAAATATAGGATAACGGATTATAATAGATTGAATTAAATAATTAAATAACGGATTAAAATAAAATAAAAAGGTTTTTGAGCGATTTATTTAATTCTGAGTTTAGTCTTAGAGTGAATAATGTAGAACGAATGAATATTGAATGGTTGGAAATACTCAGTGACTGCATTAACGACTAAAATGTTATGTTGTGTCTTTGTTCTTCTGTCATATGAGAGGAACGCTAAGTGAGAGGAGCGAGGAGATACAGGAAGTGATCACGTCACGTGGCAGAGGATCAAGTCAAAAAAGGTTTTGGTACTGATTATGGTTACAAAATCTTTCCCTAACAGGATATGTGATGTTATGACGATTTTACAAGGGGCTTGGCAAATTCTATTTCAATAAAAGTTACATTTTGGAGGCTATGTGCATCACTGGGCTGGATTGCAGTTCGATTGGAAATCAGGTACTGACATTATTCTTTAAATTTATGATAATTAGGGGTTATAGAGCAAGGGGTTAAAAGGCTTTGTTTAGGGGTATTTTAGTCTGAAGATGACTAACTTGCATTTACTGGCAGTTGATGGGTTGTGGTAATATAATCAACACTAATGGATAAGGTGGTGACATAGGATATAGGAATAAAAATTGGGTTTAATTATTCAGGATTTATTTGGAGTTGTTAGGGGTATATTAATAATTACAGGGGGAAGCCTATATAACTTAAATAGTCTAAAATAGGATAGTTCACAATAAAGGAATATAAAGGGCTTGATATAGGGGAAAATTGATTGAAATAGTCCTTTTTTAATCAAAGTAATCAAAGTAGGGTTAGAGTAGTGTTAGGAGAGACTAATGGCAGAAGTTAGTACACCTTTCTCACATATGGATTCAGCAGAAAGACATCATCCAGCAGGGTGATTATGGCATCAGAGATGAAGACGAATATGAGCAGAAACAACGATGAAGATGAATCCAGAAGAAGGAAGGAAAATCGGGATGTCTGGGAACTTAAGGAGAAGAGGATGATGATGATGAGAGGTCATGGGTGGAGGTGACTCTGTGATCAGAAGGAAGTGGCCAGAGAGGAAAGAAGGATACTGGAGATTTAATCTCTGATTAAAGTTGAACGAAGAAGGGGACAAGAGATTCGAGTTCTGATGAAGAAAGTGAGAAGAATAATACAGTGAGGCCAAAGGAAAGGCCACTGGTAAGAAGATGATATTTCAAGGACAGAACTTAGAAGATAACCTTTTAAAGAATACTGATAGGTCCACAACGAGAAGAACCGGACGAAGAAAACTCTATCAAATACAACTTATAACTGGTGGTGGAGAAGAAGAAAATAAGTGTTGGTTATGAAGAATCAGAGTGAATCAAATCAACAATCACTGTTACAGCTTTAACTGAACAATATCAAAGGCAATTGTACCAACCAAGGGGGGACCAGATGTTCCATATCGACTGTCAGTTTCTGGACAGACACAGAATTGGAGAAGAAGAAACAGAGGAAGATCAACGAGCAAGTGAAGATCACCGGTGCTTCAGGTGAACACTAAATATTCTAGAGTGCCGAGAATATCCGGAAGGGGGGTGCATTGCTGAGAGCATCGATTAGAGGAGAAGAGAAATAGCTAACAGTTGAAACCACCGGCCATTAGAAGTGATAGTGAATAGGGGAAAACTTATGTGTTCAGCCTAAAGAGGTTAAACATCTCACTAATTGATAACTAATTAGGATAGGGATTTGAGGTAGTACTTACTCTTAAGGTACTAATATTAGAAGAAACTGTTATGGCAGTGTTGGGAAGAGATGCATTGTTTAAATTGAATTGTACAATAAGATGCACACTAGACGACTGACTGTCTGGTAGAATATTTTATGAAGTAGGGTTTTTTGGGAATCATTGGCTTAAAAGATAAATATCATAGGAAGGATGATAATGTATTAGATTGCCTGTTAGACAATCTGTCTGGGAAAAAACGTAATACGGGTGACTGTTATTTTGGGTTACATTCTTACACTAAGAGATTTGAGGTTAGGCTAAAAGGTGTTTAGTCGGTTTTGCCAAGTCTGTGTGTAATGAGTCAGAAGCAGGTGGGGAACTTTCCCAATCACATATTCTTAAAATTTGGTGGTAAGAGATTTTGTCAATAAGTCAGGGGAAAAGGTTTTAAATGTTATGAGAGAAAAGATTAGATTAAAATAGGTTAGGAGAACTAGGGGTGAAGGAACTCTGAGACAGTAAGCTAAGTTTTAAAGTTAGTAGTGAGAGAGAACAGTAATGAATGACACTGTACAGTAGGGAGATCAAGGTCATTCTAGGTGTATTTTGTGTAATCAAAAGTTTAAAGTTTAGAGGTAGAACTGAAAGGGGAAAAAGTGACACTAGTGGGGATGGATGGAAGTACAAGGAAGGAGTTCAAAGTCTTGGGGGAAAACTAGGAGTAAATAAGGACATTAACACTTCAGTCTATTAGAACAACAGGGAGAAGCAATTTAACTCTTTCAACATTGATAGGTATTAAAGTCATAAACATATTGCATTTGATTATAAGGGAACCAATACAGCACCAATTTTAGGGGGAAAAATACTTATTAGGGTTTAAGATGGGGACGTTTCTCTCATATGGAGAGATAATTATGGAGAATAAGTATTGTTATCAGGACCAGGAGTAGAAGGAGGTATAGTTTGGAATAGGGTTAGGAGTGACTGTTCACTTATGTTGCGTAATATTATAGAGAAAGGTTAGGGAGAATATATGTGTACTTATTTAGGGCAAGCATTAGAATTTGTTTCGGTTAGGAATTATTGGTTAAAGGGCAATGTAATTCATAAAGTAACGCTTATAATGGAAGATTTGAAGTCTGTAGAAGTTTTCACAGTCATTGAGGGAGTTCAGGAGGAGTAGAACTGAATGGACAGTAGTCACTCCAACAGTAGATAATACACAGAGGATAATGGGAAATTTTGCACTAGAAGTAATTAGGGTTGATACAGCAGCTAAATCAACTACTTTAAGGGTAACTTTGGAAGGGATTAATGATACTATGGCAATAGCAAATATAGGAGTATGATACTGACAACAATTGTTCTGAAATTAAAGAGGTAGCAAGAGGGACTCAGGAGGTTATGGTACGAATGGGGTTAAAATAGAGCAGATAGAAACAATATAGATTAATCTGAAATGGAGAATAGAGATTCATCATGGAAGCTGCAGTATGGGGTCTTTTGATTTTGATGACAGAGGGGGGGGCATCTGATCAGTGCTGCTCGTTCCTCTGTTGTGAAA